TTGTTTTAATAATTTAGATACTTGTCCATTTTTCATCTCTTTTTTATGAATAACTTTTGCATAGCCCCATGTTTCTTTCTGCACCAAACTTTTGAGAGATAGCAATAAGAACTTGGAGCATTTATTTGATGGATATCCTATCAAGAATATTTTTTGTGTTTACTCCCAGTGTAGGAGTAAAACATTTTTGGGTGGATCTAGATGGAATGGTATGTTTTTGCGCCTACCCCTAGTATAGGAGTAGTGCATATTTGGGTGGTGTGTATGTGATCTTGATTTTAAGAGCATGACAAACCTCTCATAAGGGTCAACAAAGCTTGACTAAACTCAATGCAAAACAAGCAGCATATATGAGTGGAAGTTTTTCTATTCTAAATATCATATATGGGTCTGGTAGGAATTCAGGCTTTGTCATATAGGAGCTCATCATATAAGATTTTTATGTTTTTCAAAAGATAAATCTCCAGAACTTTAGTATCACTAGGAACAAGATAAACAGCAGCTCGGACCTTCTCATATCTTATCCATAAATTACCTAGACTTAGCTCAAGCATATGCTACCCATGAGTTTCAAGTTTAGAGCAAATTCTTATATCAAAACAATCGTATCCAAAACTCAGAAAAATTCAAGACTAAAAACTAGGTACTTGAAAGGAATCACGATAGAGCAACTAGTCATCATTTTCATTACAACAGATTATCCTTAGAGTCCTTTTATTAAACTCTTAAAAACACAACACTACTACAAAAACAAATTTGCACAGCGTTGCGATAACGCTCTCCGCGGCGGGCTCCTATTTTTGCCCGCTGCGGTAAATCCCATGATTTACCGCGGCAGGCATTTTTTATTTACTGAGGCGGGCACTTTTGCCCGCCACGGTAAATCGGTGTACCATGGCGGGCATCCTATAAAGCCCGTCTCGGTTAAGGCCAAGGCCCAATAGGCCCAGGGCGAGGCCCGTAGCGGGTACTAGTATAAAATGAGCACTTAGGGTTTCAGTCCTCTTACCTCTCATCCCCAGGCGCCGCTCCCACCTCGCCCACCTCGCGACCTGCGATGAGCACCTCCACCCCGCGACGACCCGTGACGCACACACTCCCTCCGTCGCCAGCGTGAAGGCCTCTCCCACTCCCTCTCTCTCTCTCTCTCCCTCTCCCACTCCCTCTCTCTCCCTCACCGGCGTGTGAAGGCCTCTCCGCGGCGCAGGGACAAGCGAGGTCGTGCGCGCCACCACCTCTCCATCGCGCGCGCCGCCGGCGTGTGAAGGCCTCTCCGCGACGCAGCATCGAGCAAGGTCGCACGCACCACCACCTCTCCATCGCGCGCACCACCACGTGGGTCCAGGACCGTGACTGGATCTGGTGAGGAGAGCGCCGCCGTGCCCGGTATCTCTCTCTCCCACCCTCTCTCTCCTCTCAGTACCTCCCTCATCTCTCTCTCTCGTAGGCGAGGAGCTGCGTGGCATGTAGGGATGGGTGATCCACACGGTGGCGGATCTAGGCAGCCGCGTCGACTCCCTGCGACGTGGATCCACACGGCGGTGGATCCAGGGCGGCCGCATCTACTCCCTGCTCCCACGACGTGGATCCACACGGCGACGACACGGATCCACGGCGAGATGGCCCCAACCTGCGGCAATGGCGCAGATCCTGCAAGGATGACCTCCCCGGCGGCAGATCCGACAAGGTGGAGACCCCGGCGACGGATCCAGCGAGGTGCGGTGGCGCCAGTATTGGGTTGTGAATGGGCTCATCGGTGGGCTCGAGAATGGGCTCGCCGGCGGGTTCCTAGGTTTTTTTTGTTTTTTTGAAACGTTTAACCACAGCGGGCTTCCTAACGTGTCCGCCACGGGAAATCGGTTAACCGTGGCGGGCTAAGCCACCTGCCGTGGTTAAGCCACGATTTACCGTGGCCTCTAGGCCGCGGCGGACGGCTTTGCCCGCCGCGGGAAACCGAAAACGCTCGCCTCCAGTAAAGTTTGTGTAGTAGTGCAAAACTAGACACACAATTTTATTTTGTTTTCATTTTTAAAATCACACCTTACTATTATATATACAGCTAAGATAAACTTTTATTTTGTTTTTGTTTGTTATGCATCTTTCTGTGACTTTAGCAAATATATAGAAAACTCAAAGATAGTAAAACCGAAAAGGGAAAGAAATACTTAGCTAGAAACATGGGGGATGCTCCTCCCCAAGCTGGATGTTGTCGTGGTCTTTCTTAAAATCTCTCTCATCCTTCCAGAAGTAGTTTTCCTCGTACAGCGGGTGTAGCAGTGGCTCGGGAATATGTTCTTCGGATGGATGGCTTTACTCTTGATCATCCTACAGAATATTCCATCAAGAACACTAAAACTCGTGGCACAGATTAGGATAAAGGGTTAGCGGTTAGCCATTCAGAGATTTGTCGTCCTTGGAGTTTAGACAGATTTCTTAATTGACAAAAGTCTTAGCACGGTGTCTATTTAATATATTTTTGGATTTTTTATATAATGCAGAAAGAAAATATGTATGCATGTGTTTTTTATTTTTATGCCACCATGGTGAATATTCCTTTGGGCTTTTACACAATGATAAAATTTTCACATGGGGCTTTAAGCTTTATGATGCAATGATATAATGCAATAATGGAACTTTTTATTTTTCTTTTCTAAATGTAATGCTAATGCAGAAAAAAGTAAATATGCTAAAGTGAAAAATAATTTATGCAATACTAAAAAGTAAATATGGATAACTACCGATGTTACCTCATGGCTAGGGTTTGGATTTTTAAGTCCTCCAGATAGGACTCTTCTCCTGTCTCGTTCATTCCTTGGGTGCATCAATCGGTCCCGGGGATGGAGACCCTAACAATTGCACCTCTTGTGACTCTGGTGACGATGTTTCCTTCTCTTTTCATACCTACTTGGTCTGTGGACTTGACTTTGGCGGAGCGGGTTCATCCTTTACAACTCCTTTGGGTTCCTTATCTTCCTCCCATTCATTCTTTAGAGATTGATTCTTTTGGTTTTGGGATGATTGACGTCTCCTCCTAGAGCGGGACTTCTTCGGCTGCTCATAAGTGGTATAACTACTAAAATAACAGTGTACCTTTTCTCCTAGGAATTGGAAGTGTACTTGTCTAGCTCCAACGTAGATGATCACGTTGGTAGTGTTGAGGAACAGTCTTCCAAGGATGATGGGTGTATCGTCTTCTTCTTCACCCATGTCTAGAACCATGAACTCGGCAGGGGCATAGTGATCATGTATTCTTACCATAATATCTTTTGCTGTCCCCTCCGAAAATTGGATTGATTGGTGTGGCATCTGCAATTGCATGTATGTAGGGAACAAAGGTTCATCACCAAATAAATATTCATACGTTACCTTGGACATTATGTTGACTCCTGATCCAATGTCGCAGAAGGTCTTGTGGAAGATTCATTGTCCAATAGTACACTTGGTTGTTGGTACGCCTGGATCATCCTTCTTAGCAAGGAATGGTGAAGCCAGGAGGTGGTCGCACTCTGATCGAAGTGTGTTGATCATATTGATTGTCTCTTCTTGTGGTTGCCTTGCTTTGTTCTTCCTCCTTCTGCTGTTGTTCTTGTTCTTGGTCACTGTTGTCACTTCGGGTAGGTACGGCGTCTACGGATGTCCAGGAGAATGGTGTATACGATTCTTGAACGAAAACTTCTCCTTTCTATCCTTGATTGTGAAGCAGGTCTTGGCACTGTCCGCGTAGATGATGGCTTTTGCGGTGCTTAGGAAAGGTTGGCCCAATGTCACACCGCAACATTTCCGATTTTGGGTTGTGCATAGAAAACACTAAATAAAATGAATTATTTTAATATTTGGATAAAATTTACCAAGTTTAGTTTGAGCTAGCGCAAATTTAGTTATAGGAAAAATGTGAATTTTCAAAGTTTTCTAATTTTGAAGAGCATTGGGCTGTTTTTATGATGCTCTAAAATTTCTTTTCACGAGCTCCAAATATTTTATCTCGGTCCACTTTGTTTCTCCGTAGACTCACTTAGCACATATTCACGTATACCCCTTCAATATTAGGCCTACAAAGAGGAGCCAGCCCCATTGCTCCTTGCTCTCTTGTCCCGCTGCTAGATGGCCACGTGCTGTCAGCTCCTCAATTTCCTTGTCATCTGAATCGTATTGTAACTAATATCAATGCCAAGTTCGAGTCATATCCGGCCACGTTGTCGTTTCAAATCCGTACATGGGTTTCCCCTTGGCATGTCTATGTCTATCTGCAACTAAAAAGAACAAAGAATAGACATTTTTTTGTGCGACATTTGTTTTGGTGCGTCCGTCTGCCCACGCCTGCGATCCCCGCCTCCCGTCCACGCGCAAATCGCTACAACACCGCAATCACCGCCGCCCCCCCGTGCGACCTGCTGGATCCCATGGGCTGCCACGACACGTGCCACTCCCCATCCCCATCCCCGCACCACTGTCGCCCTTGCCCCTCTCGCGGACACGCCCGCCCACGCCCGCGCCGCGTAGCCCTCCAGCTCTGGTGGCCTACTCTGGCTCATCGACGATGGCCGGATCTGGTGGCCGGAGTCGCAGATGCTCCTTCCCTTCTTCTCCCCCTGATCTCCACCCCTCCCTCTCTCTCCCGAGGCTCGCGGCGGCGAGCGCAGGGCAGCGGCACCCCTGCCGGTGGTGCGTCAGCGCGAGCGGGCCCTGATGGCCCTCCTCCCTTATCCCCACGCAGGCGGGTCCCATCCTGAATGTCCACGGCCAGGCCACCATCGCGCGCTGACTATTTGTGTGACCGTCTCCGATGTCTGGTGGCCGGCGCGCGTCCTCCCCGATCCGGCGACCCCAGCGGTCGTCTGGGCCGCTGCTTCCACTGCACACAGAGCTGGGCCGGTGTCGTTCCCTGCCATGCTCGGAGCCACCGCGCCCTGCCCATTGCACCCGAGCTCTGTCGGGCTCCTTTGAGCACCCCAACACCAGCGGCATGAGCTCCCCAAGCGGTGTCGCAAGATCTCCCGGCAATGGCGCAAGCTCCCCCAAACGGTGGCCCGAGATCTCTGGCGACGGCACGAGCTCCCCCAAGCAGCGGCACGAGATCCCCCGATAGCGCGAGCTCCCTTGGCGGTATGGTTGAAGTAAGCACCCTTTCTCCTCCCTTCCTGCTGTGCCAAGCCGAGAACCAGACCAACCCTAGCTTAATCTATTTGGCAATTTGTATTTCGATCTGATCTAATCACAAGGCTATGTGCACATTAATTCTACTACTAACTCTGATATTTGTTTTTTTGCGAAAATTATGGGTGCTTTTCTGGGTCCACCTCTGATGAGCACCCGTATTTCGTGTTGTTTGCCATCTTCTTAGCAGTAGCAGGCTGTGGAAAATATGCTAATGTACTTGTCTACAATATGACTATATAAATGTTTCAATTTTGTCTCAGATTTCTTAAAAAGAGTTTCTTAGTTTAGTTCTTGGCTAATTATGGAGTTATTTTATTAGCTGTCATTTTGACTTTGAAAATGCCTTGTATTTAGTCGTGAGATTGATGTGAATGTCCCCTGTTTGATTGTCACAGGATGCTGGGATGGATTGGATCATTCACCTTGATACTGATGAGTTGATTCACCCAGCTGGTGCCTGAGAGTACTCCCTGAGGCGATTGCTTTTAGATGTTCCTGACAATGTTGACATGGTTATCTTCCCCAATTATGTGAGTCACACAAGTAACATGTTTGTTGAATACGGTAACGTGGTTCACATCTGATTATTGTATATATTTCTTTTTTCCAGGAGAGCAGCATTGAGCGTGACGACATTAAGGATCCTTTCACTGAGGTATAGAAGCTACTGTTATCTGTAACATGTATGCAAAAGAAAGGGAAAAATTGGCTCTGTATGCTAATGATGATCCACTGGCTTACTTGAGAAGCAAAGTGTGACCTGTAGATAACCAGATATCGACTCACTGTCTAGAAAAAACTATAGTTTAGCAAACACTGCACAGAACTACTCATTAATGCATTGAAGGAAATAATAGGAATGGTCTGATTATCGTTGTCTGTGTTTGATAGCTTGAATCATTTATACAGTCATATTGTTTTGTGCCTACAGGTTTCCATGTTTAAGAAAAATTATGATCATCTTCCGAAGGATACATACTTTGGTCTATACAAAGAAGCAACACGTGGTAATCCAAACTACTTCCTTACTTATGGTAATGGGAAATCGGCTGCAAGGGTTCAAGAGCATATGCGTCCAAATGGTGCTCATAGATGGCATAATTACATGAAAACCCCAAAGTAAGATGTCTCAATATGTGGAGTTTTTTTGCTAAAACAAATGGTCAGTCAACAAACTACAGTTTCTTTCTACTCGATGGTTTAGTTATATATTTCTTTTGTAGTGAAATCAAATTGGAGGAGGCTGCTATTCTGCATTACACCTACACAAAGTTCTCAGACCTAACCTCAAGAGGGATAGGTGTGGTTGCAAGCCAACTAAAGAAGATGTGAAGCGATGTTTTATCTTGGAATTTGACCGTTTGGTGAGCTATCTTTTCTTCCCTTTGTTGTATCTGCATAGCATCTATTGTTGTCCTATGGGTACAGGCCACCTTGTCAGCATCATAACTGTTTCCTGGCTGAAACATTGAAATAATACATTTATTTCATTTAAGTGAGATGATATAAAGAATGAGATGGGGAGAAAAATGGCTAGATGATTTATTATACTATGGAAATGCTTGTGGAAACTGTCGGGGGTGGAAACAATCTCAGTTTACACAATATATGCATGTAATATCTTTTTTAAACTGAAAGTGGATGAGTGGATGTAGTTATGTCTGAATCAGATACAGGGGTGATGGGGCATTGCACAAGCACAATATTGTACCTTGTTCGTGTGCCTTATACTAATGACAAACATTTCCCATGGTCCATTCTCCATTGTACAATGTATAGCCAGCCATGCCAGAGAACCATATAACTGTCTTTTTACCAAAAAAAAAGAAAGGAAACTGCTATGACTCTTATTTGGTATCATTGTGCATAGGTAGCTAATTGGATAACTAACTTGGGAGAGCTAATGAATTCTCCCTTGTACTCTGTCATGGCAGGCCTTTATAATTGCATCAACAGCGACTGAGGAGGAGATGAAGAACTGGTAACACCCTTAGCCTTCTATGTACCAAGCACCAACCATTCCTCCCTATCCTGCCTGAATTAAGAGAGATCACATTGGTCTGACTACCTTTGTTTAGGTACCGGGAACATGTTGTATGGACCGATAAAGACACCAATTTGAAACTTTTGAGGAAGGGTGTCTTAACATGTATATATGCGCCCATGGTTAGTCCAGATCTCAATCTTGTAGGCTTTCAGCTCGTGGAAGTTGTTTCTTATTGCTGCTACATTTTATGCCCAATCTTTGTAGGCTATCATCCGTGGCCTCAAGGAATCCGGTGTCTTTACCAATGCAGTAACATCAGCGAACGCACAGTCGAAAATAAAGTCATCAAACATGGGTCTTGAAAACGAGGCCATCCAACTAAACGGAACAGCTGGTCAGTCCACACTGGAAGCTGCCCACGAAAAGTTGCAGGCAACCGTAAGAAAGATCCTGGAAATGGTTGACGCCCAGGAAGAAGCAATGCCACCAATGTCGCCCCCGGGTTTTCTGGAGCTCTCTGAAAGCGCCACTGCTTTGTCATGACTTTCTGGAGGCATTATTTAGTATTGACTCGGGTTTAACCATGCGTGATGCATGCAGCCTTGAGCATACGGATAACATAGGCTTGTTTGGTCGTCGTAGTTGTATTAGTATCACGTATTTGAATTGTTTTTATTAGCAGAGAAATGGATCTTTTTATTAACAGAGAAATAGCTGAATTGTTTGTGAATTTTTTTTAAAAAAAGAACTATACTGTTTTTTTCTGTGTGTGAAAATGAAGTGAGAAAAAGGGTAGGCAAGGCGAGAGCGAGTGGGTGACCAATGGGAACTCTGGAATCTGCCATGCTCTGGCCTGCTCCTGCCCCTGCTCCCCCACCAACTTCGCAGCCACGCAAAACCCCACCTGTTCCCCCGCCACCGCCACTGCGGCCGCCGCACTTCGCTCTCCCTCCTCCTCTGCCGTTCCCTCCCGGTTTCTCCCCTCCGCCATTCCCCTCCTTTCCCACGCCATTGCCGCCCCCATGCAGCCTCCGGATGCGCCCCGGCCTGGCCCCCAGCCTCCGCGGCGCCAGCGCGCGCATTCCTTACCCCAGGAGGTACCCGGGCGGCGAACGGGGCGCAATTCGTTGAGCACCTGGCGCCTGGGCGCGGGGTTCCGGTGACGGTGACCCGCGGCGAGCGTGACGTGGACGACCTCGCGGGCGTCCCACCGAAGCTCCTCCCGCCGAAGAAGAGGGTCGTGTGGTATCACCCGTACGCGGCGGCCACGGTGATCCAGGAGATGGCCAGCCACTTCCGCAACATCCATGGAGGTGGGTTTCTTCTCGGCGCGTCGGAGCCACCCATGCCCACGGGGACGGGATCGGGGCGCAGTCGTCGGGGCGTGGAGGTTGACGTGGCGGCGGAGGAGGAGCGGGGCGAGGACGGGCTGCGCGCAGAGCTGCTCTGCCTTCGCATCTCGTGCCCGGCGGTGGTGCTCACCAAGCAGCTGACCCTTTGGACCGCAGCCGCGACAAGGCGCACCTCCTGCCGATATAAAACATTATCTTAGGCGCATCACAGAAAAGGTCTATAAGGTAGAGTTTGTAAGCTTGTGATGTCGCGCTCTCCGTGACTGTTAATTTCATAAACTTTGCTTTTTGGATTAACTGTAACTTTAACGTTGGTATTTAATTTTATAGTATTGTTATCATATCTTGCCATCCATATGTTTTTAGTACAAAAGTTTAGTTGTCCCGTAGCAACGCACGGGCACACTACCTAGTATATATAAAAGGGTAACCCTGCATCCATCGTCGATTCTCGCCTGAACCTCCGCAAGTCTATGCCCTAGTTTGCCTCGCTCGGCGACGTTTCTATCTGCGCAGCAGCCGGCCATGCATGAACGAAGCCACGCTAGGCATGCTATGCATATGTCTTGCCATCAAGTTTTCTGTCTTCCGATGCCACGGCGTCGACGTGCACGTTTTCGCTGGCTGCCGATGCGTTTTTATGGCCGTGGAAGCTGCAGCCACTCTTGGAGCTTCTCCGTGATGCCGCATGTACAGTACATTGCAAAGCCATCATTGAGCTGTCCATCTTCCCCAAGATCAGTCGATGTCAATTTCGTCGTCATCGAGCGTTGTTAATTTCTGCCATCGTCAATCGCCGGTGAGCTTTTCTGTCTGTTCCTTTCGCTCTCAGATATCCGCTGTCACGTTCGCGTATACCTATATTACCTCTGCTCCAAGTCGCTCTCGTAGCGTTAGTTTCGTAGCGACGTGCTCTGCGAGATAGAGGTAGTGTTCTTCATATCACATATTTATGACCTTACTAAGTTAAATATTAATTTGATTAAATGCATGTAATTAGTTTTCCAATTTAAAAGCAATGTAGGTGTTACACTTGAGCATTTTATACATAAATATTAATGTTAATGATTTACTTAGTTTAAAACACGTGTCCTATACAATTAGAGTAGATGCTCTCACATGTTTATTTATTTTTGCCGAATAAAGTTTAAATGAATTAAATAATATGATACAAGTTTATATAAATAAAATATGACCAGTTCTAACTTGATTTTGGATTAAAATATGATGTGACTAATCTGAATTAATATCATTCATATAGTACGTAGTTGATTCTTTTGTAAGATAAATCTCATGGTAGTCGTTTCTTTTTAATGATAGTTCCGTTCTCGGCGTTTCTTGTGATCTTGTGACCGTAGTGACGAGCTCTCTTTTAGTATGTTGTTTTTCTCTCGTGTGGTGAATTGTTCTTAGTTGCTTTTATTTGTTGCTTGTATGATTGCCTATGTGTGGTGCTTGCTACGAGTAGATGAGAACCGTTTCTGGACGCTGAAGATCAGAAGGTGATGACCGAAAGCTGATGGTATGAGAGTTGAGCGAGTGTTTAAGGCAAGTATAGCATGGGATTTTCCTTGTTGTCCTATACACCTTTAATCATTTAATTCATACTGCATGTGTCTACCTTGACTACCACTAAGGATATCCTAGTCTTTTGTACTTGTACCTTGATTCCTAAGGGGTATTGCATTGGGTAGCTTTGCTTGTGCTCAACTACAACCATGATCTTGTAACTTGACTAATGGTATATGCAATAAACATTAAAATATGACTTTTTAGCAACTTGGAAACAAGAGGGCTGGAGTGTTTATCTACTTTCTAAATGTTTCAGATTCCTCTCCCTAAGGACTTATCTGTAAGTGATCATCCAGGACTTACAGTACAACCATGAGGACTACATGACTCTGGTCTTAGTCTAGTACCTTGCTCTTTCTAGTTTGTAGCAGTTTACCGAAAGGGCAAGAGGGGCATACCAAGCTGGGTATGGGCCTCATCCCCAGGGTGTGTACTATGTTGCGTGTATAAGTGCCACTTCTGGAGATGACTCCATAACACTTGGGAGATGGAATCCTTAGCGACTACTCCTTATTAGAACGACTGGGGAAAAGCTTCGTAATGTACCCTGCCTGCTCACCTTGGAAGTGTTTTGGGAGTTATAAACCTGGGCATATGGGTAACATGACTCATGGTGAAAGTGTACAACCTTTGCAGAGTGTAAAACTGTTATAACAGTCGTGTTCACGGTCACGAGCGGCCTTGGAACCCTTATAGAATAGATGATGAACACTGATGATACTGATGATAAAGATCCTCATTAATGATTACTGTTTATGCTATTCATTATTCATGTTTACCTGATCATGTGTTTACATGGGCTGGTGATAAACTTGTTGCTACTCAATTGCTAAAATTGTGACAATTAAAAGCTAATCACAGTTAAACCAGTGTCAGCCTTTTGAGCCTCATGAACCCCATGTTATATTTGCTGAGTACGACATGTGCTCACCTTTGCTATTTCCCCACACCCCCAGACTCTAGTAAAAGTTGCTCAGAAGATTGGTGAAGACAACGAAGGAGTTCTCAGGATACTATCAGAAGTGTTTGGAATATGTAGCCTCCAGTCAGCCGTCCCTATGAAGAATGGAGCCTAAAGATTAGCTATCGTTCTGCGATACTCTGATGTAAGTATTAAATGTGAGTATGTTTCGTTATATAATAAAGCATTGTCGCTTGATACTATTATAATTTGTCGCTAAATGTGTGATTTGACTTCCTGGGCACACATATAGTTAGTACTCAGTTTTGTCTTTAAAACTAGGTGTGACAGCCACAAAGTCTATGGGAACATATGATTGTCCCACTCGAATAATGGCATCTTCAAGAATTCCCTTGGGGTAACATAGTGACGGATCTGCAAGCTGCAAACGCATATTTGTGTACAATAAAGCATCTCCATTAATTTGGTCATAGATTACCTTAGGCAAGATGTTGACGCTTGCTCCGAAGTCATAGATAGCTTCTTGGAAAATGTGAGGTCCAATGGCAATGGGGATGACAGGTCTCCGTGGGTCGATCTTCTTCTCAGGCAAGGTATAATCTATCCACCTTCCCGTCGATGGCTCCGTATAGTAGTAAGCTGCATTGTGAATATCGACAAGATTTGCAGTTTCTAAATCATCTGGCTGCCCCAGAATCTTACCTTTGTCGGACGGAGGAACAGCAGCCGCCAACTGAACTATTTGTGATTTTATCATTTTATTAAAGCTATCCTAGTTCTTAATGGCAGAAGCAAAGCTATCCATTCTATTATTTATATTTTCTAGAATTTTATCATTGGTAGCTACCTTCTTAGACAATCCTTCCATAACTCTAGGTTGACCAACAATTAATTCTCTCAAGGGTGGTTGATTGAAGTTATTATAATTATTGACCAACAATCCTTGATTCTGTTGAGGACGATAGTAGTTGTTATTGTTGGCAAAGTTGACATCCTTTTGGGTTTCAGGACAGCTATTCCCTGAATGTCCATTGTTGCCACATACTTCACATGTCATGTAGGAATCATGAATGTGCATGACTTCTTGCTTTTCATTAGCGTGGTCTTCGAGCTTCTTCATCAGTAGGTCCATCTTGGCATGTCTACCTCCTTGAGTTGATGCATACCTTCACCTCTCTTGCGGGTCTGAACACGTTCTTCATTCCAGCCTTGGTTGGAGGCCATCTTCTCCACAAGAGTGGTCACAACAAGAAGTGTAAGTGACAAGAATGCACCTCCAGTAGTAGCATCCATGGTCTTACGGGTACTGTTGGTCAACCCATGGTAGAACGTATACATGAGTACATGAGTAGCCAATTCCCCATCCCATGATGAGGACATTCTGATATATAGTCTTGAAAGCATTCCCATGCCTCAGGGACAGATTCATCATGTTATTGCTGAAAACATGAAATTCTCCCACACAGAGCATTGGTATTGCCTATGGGAAAGAACTTTGCTAGAAAGGCAGTGGAGCAGTTATCCCATGTAGTGTTTCTATCGTTGTTGGCATAGAACCACTGCTTCGCCTTCCCCAAAAGTGAAAATGGGAAGAGGCAAAATAGTATGGCGTCCTGGGTTACTCCTTTGATGGTGAAGGTGCTGCAGATCTCGAAGAAGTGTTGGAGATGTGCACTTGCATCCTCATGTGCCTTTCC